CTTCTCTGGAGGAGATTGAGGTTCTGGGGTGGTAAAAAAGTACGAGGAAGAAATGGCTCCAGGAGGAGCAAACAGCTCTGGGGCTGTTGAGCACACTGTCTGGTCAGCATGTCTCATACTTTGGCCACAGGAAGGTATTCTGTCTGTCAAGGGAAAGAAAACAATTCAAGCTATTAGGACTCCCTGTAATTTGGCCTACAAGCAGTTTGGACTCAACAACTGAAAAGGAAATGTCAAGGAATGGGAAGCCAAGAGAAGCTCATCAAAAAGACATCTGGTCCTGCTGTCCTTAATGGGAAATCCCCCCCTTCCTCCAGCCACCCTCTTCCCAGCCATGCTTTTTTGAAACAGTTAATGTCTGAGAGAATCCAAAACATTGCTGGAATGTATCAGTGATGAAGCTTTTGTATAGCTGAGCAGCTAAACAGCTCTGGGTTTGTTTGTGTTAGGGTTGATTGTCCTGCCTTTCATCGGTGAAAGTCAGAAATGGCTGGACAGGACTCCGTGGAGCAACAGTGTCTAAGGCCAGCTTCAGCTGGGGGAGAATTTGGTCACCTCTTTTATGGCTGGAATCATGAAATGTTTCACAGGGAAGCAAAAAGAGTCACCCTAGGACAGCTGACTTGCAAATTATCCAAGATGAAGGATTCATGCTCTCCAACAGAGTATTTAGCTCCCTTCCAGCRAGTAGCTTTGCTTGGAACATCCACGCTGTCCCAGTGACCCATCTGCCTCTCTGTTTCTTYTGGTATTTTTTGCACTGACTGAACCCTGGCAGGCTTCCATGCCTTTCTGCAACCAAGGAACTAGTCTGGTCACTAGAAAGCACCCACAGGGGTGACTGTGGGCAGCTCAGGATCTTGAACATGGTTCTGCAGTTAGCCACGAGGCAATGCCGTTTATCACAGCCCTCACAGAAAATGTTGTTCCCAGGGCTCAGAGTTTCAGTGCAGGATCTYTGATCACATGAATCAGTACAACTGGCAGAATCCAGGCATTTAGCCCTCCTTAGGGAATAAGCAGAGGACTCCATTCAACTTCCCAACAGCAACTATTCCYTTCATCCCTTTAATCAGAAAATCTCGAAGACCAGCAGCATTCAACAGATCAGGGTTCAAAGGCATTGATGGGAGCTCCATAAACCTCCCAAACTCCTGCCAGTGCTCYTACCCAGAAGGAAGATCAGAGAGGACTTTCAAGAAAACAGCTGAGCTCTGACTGATGATTCTCTTATTGAGTCCCAGCTGTGTGCTCCCACCARCTTTTACTGTCYCAGTCCTGCCTGACTCTATTGCAAYCCAACTCATCCTCCTCAGGTGGAAGAAGAATATGCCATTTTAGTTTTCTAAACTGGAAATGGAAGCATGGAAGTTTTCCAATAACTTGGAAATGACAACAGGAAGAGAGAGATCATTTAGCCAGAAGCAGGGGGAGGAGAGAGATTTCTCTCTGTCAGAGACAGCAATGTTGTTTTGCTGGCTCAGCTGTCCCTAGGCTTTGATGCTGTTCAGGGATTCAGGAATGGACAAAAGAAATTCCTCCATCTCAGATTATGGCAGCATTACAGCCCAGCACTGCAGCCAGGGATGCCAAAAGGAAGAAGTCTTTGGCTTCCTCATTTCTTGGCATTTTGCAGGACACACCTCAGYTTTAATCTCAGATCTGCCACGAAACTCACCTCTGCTCAAACCTCTCTGAAACAGCTTTATGTCTGCTTGACCACAGCTGTCCACAGAGATACTACACCTCTATCTGAGTGGGTACCTGAGAAGGTATTTGGAAGGAAACAGGACACCTGTACACCACCACTGATCTGAGCACTGATCTCCCTGCCAACCCCAGTCTGCCAAGCCATCTTATTTCTCCATCTGTCCTCCAGGTGCCTGTACAAGAGGACTATTTGACACAATTTCCCATCTTTCATGAGCTTAACAAAAACAACTTAACTTTATCTGAACCAGGAGTAGTTTTTTACAGCCTTGATAAGTGCATGGGGAGGAGAGAARGAAAAGCCTCGTGAAACAACAGCTACACTTCAGGTGAGGAGGGAATTTYTACCTTTTGTTCTGCCAGCTGGAATAGTTTCCATGAAGAAAGGAAGAAGTCTGAGCACTAGGGACTGCTGCAACTGGAATGAGGAATATCTGGGAGAAAACACCCCAGAGAGCAGCTCTGAAATGTCCAMGTCAGGTGTGGTTCTTCCTGAGAATCTCCATCAAGCACAATTTCCCTGAATCGGGGGAGGGCACCTGCACAGGTTCTCATGGCAGGGTTCCCATAACTTTCACCACACTTTGAGTCATGCTTAAACCAGGGAAAAAGCAAAACAAATGCAATCAAAGAGAAGAAAATCATAGCAAAGATTTAGACAAATACAGATATTGAAGACTTTGCAAAGATGCCAAAGGTAGGCGGTAACAATCAAAAATATTAATCAATAATAGCAATGTACACCTGCTTAGTGTACTTAGGGAAAAAAGAAAAGTGTTTAGCATTGCCAGAGGAGAAAAGAGAGAATCAGAATCATGCTGCTGCACATGCAAATCATTGTAATTGTAATTGTTTATAGAGTTTGTTTAGGCTTTTAAATTTATACTTGATTCCTTCTCTGTTTCACGGGAAGCAAAAGTACTAAAATGAAAACTTTAGCCAAAACTGCCAGTTTCACCAGCAACCTATCAATACAGCATGGATACTCAGGGATAAAAAGGATTAAAACATGTCTACTATAGTAGGAACCTCTGCACTGAAGGATAGGATGTCACTTGCATAAAAAAGGAATTAAACAAGATGAGCTTTGCCCTCCAGGCTTTTCACAGCTGAGTCATCACTAATAATAATCATCATCATTAATAAGCATCACTAATAATAAGCTGGAAAAAAGCAAGGAATACATGGGTGCACAGGTAGATGGCTGTTATTTCATTGGCTTCAAGAAGCTCCACCAGGAAAACCAGTTTGCAAGTGTTTGCTCGACCTGAGCACAGTGGCAAACATCTCGATTTCAGCACCAACACTGGGAAAATTAACTCCTCATGATAAGCAGGGTCTGAGTATTTCCCAGTTTTATTAAACTGCAGAACACAACAGCCTATTTGAAAAAGAATACTCCAAATACTTCCTACTGCAAAAGGAAGGGGGCAAACAGGAAGAACTTGTATTCCACTGGCATTACTATTTGTCCCATTGTCACCTGTCCAGCAATTGCCATGGGCCTAACCAGCAGTCCTGGAATTCCAGAGCATCCTTATCATGAGAGGGGAAGGAAGGGAAAAGAAGGGAATGTAAAGGCTCTGGATCTTGAAGACAGGAATCAYAGGTATCTGACATTTTGATCTTTCAAATCATCTCTAATTAGTTTGTGTAACTGGTATTATCCTTAATTAGCCTTGCTCAGTTCAGAGTGCCTGCTCACCTGCTTCAAGGCACAGGCACACCTCAAAGGTTTGCAAGACCAAGGCTTACCCTGCTAGATTTTTGAAAGCTGCAAGCCAAGAAGAAGCTGCAAAGAGCTCTGAGAGAAGAGTTCCTAAATGGCAGACAGATTTATTTMTTTCTTTTTCTCCAGTCATTGCAGCCTGCTRTCTGCTGGCTGGATTTGATGGTTCRGGCACTTGGCTTGCYTCTTTGTGGTTGAGTGGTGAGAGATGCTCCAGCCYCAGCTTCCTTGAGTGGCAACAGCTCTTTAACCAGCATTGTTCTTGTATGGAGAGCTCCCATGGGACACAGGTCACTTTCTGGTTCCACCAGAGATCCTCTGAGAGGTGTCACCCTGCACTGCCTCGGAGGGTGGGGCAGGAAGGGCATCCGAGGAATGGCAGGGCTTGTGCTGTTCCAGTCGTACTGCTCACTTTCCATGCGAGCCAAAAGAACCTGCTCATGGCTCTTTTTAGAAAATGTAAGGAAGGCCGTATGATGGAGGCTTGGAGTTTTTTCTACATTAACAGCAGTGACATTTCCCAAGGCCACCTTGGACCACAGATGTCAATGATCTGTGGGGTAACAGGTCCAAAACCTGAAAAATATAGATACTGCGAGCCTTCCATTGGCTTTGTCTAACAGGTTCCAAGGGGAGCATTTTCTAGGTACTGGTTGTATATTTTTCCACAGGACAGTACAGCTGCATACCCAGGTCAGGCACTTGGCCTCACCTCCTGCCATAAAGGCCCTGTAATAGGCAGGTATAGCTCCCTTGTCCCCACACCAATGTTAATTTTGAAAATTTCCACTACAACCCTCACAGACCTTGCCTATTGTAACTTTCAATGTTCTCATTAATGATATAAACATTAAATCCCCACAATGTCTCCAAAACTGTAGCCTGTGGACAGATTGACACCTGTGCCTTGTATTGAGGTCAGACTGGATGCCCACTTCTCCGTGTGTTATTATTTGTGCATTTCAGACATGATAGTTCTGGCTGCCGTGGCAGAAATCAGGGAAAAATGTCACTGGAACCCATGGAGGAGGACGTGTTCCCATGAGATTGGCTCTGTCCGGGAACCAGGTCCTATCAAGAAACCTTGATGAAATCAGTGGAAAAGAGAGTGCGAATTGAGTGGCTCCGGGACACAGTGGAAGGAGAACCCAACTGCGCAGCCTGGCAGCCCGGAGCAGGGAGGGGATGGGTCTGCGGGCTCCGAGCTGGGCTCACGGTACGGGAGCACATACGGCTATCCCGGGATAACCAGAGCCTTGCTCTGAACGTGCCCAAAGCCCCACAGCACACAGAGGTCACCATCCAAACACGGGGCACCCCGAGGAGCCCCAGCAGCCACCCCACGACCTCAACCCACCACCCAGCGCTCTCCTCTCCTGCCCGGGCCCCAGCCCGGCGCTTCTCCCCAGGGACCGGCCGCCGAGGGGCCCCACGCCCCGGGGAGGGTCCGCTGCTCGGCCGCAGCTCCCCATGGAGGGGCAGGTCCGGCTGGCAGCCCCGAGCGCCGATCCCGGCCAGCTCCGCGGCTCCGGGGCGGGGCGGGAGGCGCGGGCGGGGCGGCCCGGCCCGGCCGGGGGAGCCGGCGCTGCTGGGATCAGAGCTGCGGAGCGGAGCGGAGCCGAGTGCGGGCAGCGGAGCGTCCCGGAGCCCTCGGCAGTCTCTGGGCTGCGGCCCCGCTGCGTCCCCATGGAGAAGTACAAAGGTGAGGGGAGGGGAGGGGAGCCGAGCCTCACGCGTGTCCGTGTCCCGCGGCAGCCCCGAGCGGGGACCGCTGAGGGGGCATCGGGAACCTGAGGGAGCAGCGTTGGGGCGGGTGGGCTTTGGGGGTGGCAGACCCACTGACACGGCCCCCGCGGGACTCTGTTCCCCCCGCCGTGGGAAGGCGGCGGTGGGATGCGGGGGCAGCTCCCGAGGCGATGTTTGCCGAGAATGGGACCGGGAAGGGGAACCCCGCGAGTGGGGCACGAACCCAGTTCCTGGGGCCGGCAAGGGCTGTCCCGTGTATGGGCGGGGGTCCAGCTCCGCGGACGACAAGGAGGGAGACAGATACTGGGAATGGGAACTGGCTCCCGGGGGAGGCGATCTCCGCCAGTGGGGCCGGGAATCGGGGTGCCCGCGAGTGGGGCCGGGGTCAGTTCGGGAATGGAGAGGAAGCGGTGCCCGCGATTGGGGCCGGAGTCAGCTCGGGGATGGAGGGGAAGCGGTGCCCGCGATTGGGGCCGGAGTCAGCTCGGGGATGGAGGGGAAGCGGTGCCCGCGAGTGGG